CCGAGGAGTATCGACTTCAGCTGAAAGTTCTCGTCAATAAAATTTAGCCGCAATCCGAGATACTTTGTAGTTTGTACTTTCGAAGTCCAAAAATCGCCTACAACTGTGAACATTGGAGCTCTTCCAATACGACCCCGCAATCAGAATCAGCTCCATTGCCCTCTTAGTTGATGCATACAGCTCCACAATACAGTGACTGACGATCTTCCCATTAATTATGGCTTGCATTCCATCCTTAAAGACGAGCTCACGAATCGAGATAGATTCGTCGTATTCTCCAAGGCGGTAAGCAAGAATATTGTTAGCTATGCGCAGCGTTTCCATGAGAGCATAAACCCGTGCTGGGTCGTCGCGAAATAACTGCGAGGTACGAGCACGATCGAGTTCTTCGTCACGGGACCGTCGCTTCTCCTGGCTGGCTTCAGTCCGCTCTGAGGTTACATCGTGAGCGCACTCTCGCGGCAAATATCGCCGGCCAAGCACATCCAAATAGCCGGCGAAGCAACATCGGCTTCCGTTGACGGGTTTTTCGGGGCTTTGATTAGGCGAACACCATAGGAAAAGATGATAGATTTCTCATTTTGTCGTGGAGGAAGAACGACAAACCCCTCAGGTGGCTCGAAAGAGTTTATAGCATCTCGGATACCTGGGGGGGGGGCGCATTAATACGCGAGAGGCTCAAAATGTCAAGCTGCTGATCTTGCGATCTTGAACGTTCACAGCAAATAGAGTAGTGAGGCGCTGCAATGATGAAGTATTTGCTAGCTTAGCTGGAAGGAATCAAGCTCGGCGTCAAGATATGGTTGTGGTACGTGCTCGGAAAGACCCTGCTACCCCCTAGACAAAACAAGAGCTCTATGCTAACGTATCTACGTAGAAAATGGCAAGCAAATGATCCTTCTTTGACGCAAATTTAGCGACCTTTTAGGGATGATCGCCAGTAGTAAAACGATGGAAGGAGGACACATTTTGACCAATTCAAAAGGGAGACAACGCCGAGTTTTGTTGCCTTTCTCCGTCTGAAGAAGATTCCGTGGTTTCATCTCCAATTTTTGAAATTTGACGACAGAGACGGTAATCCAGGTAAAACCGTCTCCCACTGGACACGGGAGACGGTAATTCCAGTGAAACTACCTCCATATGAGACGTCTCCTGGGAGGCTTAAGTAAATCATGCACTGCTATCGGTGAATAAAAGAAACGAGCAATCGTCGCTCAAAAGACTCAAGTAAACTCAGCATTTTTTCTACATGTACAAACTGGTCAATTTGATATGTTATAAGTGATATTTTTGAAACTGCTATTATTAGGACACCATGCGCGGATAGAACGACGACCAAACATTATAATTACCGTACTAGCCGAGCGCCGCCGCTACGCGGCGGTAGGTTTGGCTACGTCCCACTTGGTAAGGTCTTTTTTGTCCCCGCTTCGATTCGACGGGCCTATTTTACCGGTACATGTACTCATAGATAAGCCTAAACGAATTCATCATTTTCATTACATGTAGTCGGATCACAATTTGGACTACCAAGCACGTTGTTTAACAGAATCTACAATTAAACTCAGAGAAAGTCGTTTGTTATAAGTAATTTGCAGCCATGTTGGAAAAAACGTATTTGTTAAAAACTGAGCTCCAAGTAAGTTGCGCAATATTTCTTAAAAATTCTGAGCCTCCACCGTGTTGTTTGCAAAACTATTACGGAAATACTGAGCTCCAAAACGTTTGCGCAACATTTTTACAAAATACTGAGCGTCCACCATGTTGTTTGCAATACTATTACGAAACATTGTTTTATTCTGGTCACATGTGTTATAAGCAGCTACGACTTATTTAGTAGCTTACTAAATATGAATATAAATGTATTCTACTTTTTACTACATATAAATGTTTTCTACTTTTGTACACATCATCAAACGTTACGTAAGATACTGTTCCCAAGTGTTGTTGTTAAATTAGAGCTCTATACTGTACTACGATCTTGTCGGCAACCCGCCTGTCCATAAAGTAGTTTCTTTCTTCGCAACATACCGATAAGATATTATCTGTACTACGCGGCACAACGTTTTTTAACAAATATATTTCAATCAGAAAAGTAAGATATCGCTTATTAAAATTTACTGAGCGCCTTAAGTAACAAAAGAGAAAAAAAGGAACATATTGTGAGCCAAAATAACAGAAGAGAAAGTGTAAAGATATTTTGAGCCAATGGTAATACTTTACATTGTACTCATTTACATGTCTAGCTTAACCTTCTTCGAGCGACGACGTCGCTGCATGCGGTAGCGGTGGCGGCGGCGGTGGCGCTCGTGCTCTGTGCAGGGTCGTGGTGGCAAAGGAGGCGGTGGAGGCGGTGTGCCCATAGCAACCGCCAGTGCGAACATCCGCTGCTCGCGCTGGTCAGGCTTCGGCGGTGCTGGGGCTGCATCGAAGCGGTGCCAATAGGCCCGTGCGTTGGGCCGATTGGCACACGCAATGCTGCGACGCCCCCCAGCTCTGGCGGAGCCAGCTGCAAAAGCGTCCCACGAAAGGAACGCTTTGCAGCAGGCACACAGCCGGAGCGCCAGCCCAAGTCCGTCAAGGTCAATTGGCGGTGGCACCACATGGGCCTCACAGGTCCGGCAATCAATCCGCTCCATTTTGTGAAATGTAAGATGCAGGTTTGATAAAAGCATTTTACAATAATTCGTATTATATCCAATTACACCAAGACATCTCAGCCACTCATTAATGTCACATTTCACATCGAAGCCACCTTCGCTCCGCTCGTCAGCCAATGAGAATGCTCAAAAATCTGAGCGTTTCGTGTGACGGACGGACAGACACCGTGCTAGCATTGATAGTTTAGGACTAGCCGAGCGCCGCCGCGTAGCGGCGGTAGTTTAGGTTTAGCTCTACTTGCTTTGGCCTTGCCGCCTCCGCTTCGCTTCGGCGGGATAATTGTTTCAAAAAATATGAACCCCTATGTACTTCATGAATTTCATAACTCTGGGTTTAATTTAGACCAGTCGCTACAAAATGCTGAGCTCCCAGTAAGCCGTGCAATTATTTCTACAAAATGCTGAGCCCCTAGCATCACACTTACCATGCTTCAAAATTAGTATTCTGGTGATCTTGACACAGTCTCTTTATTATTGTTGGCTACTACATAAGTACTGGCGTGACATTGGTCAGTCATCGCTATTTGAATGAAGTTTTGACTCGGGCACATGCTTGCCGTGTCGTGCTGGCATTAACGGCGAGTATGTGCCCAACTCAAGAATCATCAGCACTTCAAATAGCATGTCTACAAACGATATTGAATATATTTAGCTTGGCGTCGTGCTCGATATCATGGGCCGTTCTGAGGCGCTGTGAAACTTAGCCCGCATCTATGCAAAGGACAGTAATGATCTATCCAGGTTGCACTTCTTACTCTTTTGTACTGCCTATTTGAGCTTGTAAGTAACTAAAAATTGCTAACTTCTCACACAAAACTCACTGAAAGCTATAAATTTTTCGAATTGTATTATTTTTATGCATGCAGCCTTCATTTTTTGCTGATTCAAAAGTCATTGGACAGTCGAACCTGTCAGTTATGATTAAAACATTAGGAAAATGCGTCGCAAGACGCTTGCGGCAGCGTCTTTTTTTTGATAGGCTAATTAAGATGCCAAAATGGTTTAACTATCAACTATACCCTAAGTTTAATGTTTTGTTATGGTGTCTAATTAACCAGCTCTCATGTTGTGCTGTTGTCTATCCGCTCCATTAAAAACTTCATCCTTCGCCCTTGTCGGTGACACGTCCGCCAGTTAAGTTGTATCGGATTTTGCTGTCGAAACAATTCTTAGAAAACAATGGCTTACAGCAGTATCACACATGAGCTCGTTTTATTCAATCTAAAACTTTATATCTTTGTGAATCAAGTGACAACGTTTATTAGCAGCGTTGTTCTTACGGCCAGCTGTTACGGCCAGCTCTTCTGTTGTACATGTACTACGATTTGGCAGCTTAGTAGTTACAGATAATTAGATAATATATCTACAACAAAATAGCTGTAGCTATTAAAGTCATTGTACAGTACATTGCATACACTATTAAGTACATAGTATACGTATATTATAGTATGGCCTCCAAAACAAGCATCATACGTGCACGCTAAGCACCTTGCAGCATAGGAAGCGTCTTTAGGGGCTATTTCATTTGAGAATAAGTAGCTCTCTCTGTTTAGCACTCAAATATTAAAGCAACATGCATTATTAAAAAGTAAATACTTCGTAATATAAAAACGATGCCGCCTTCGGACGACAGCTTTTAAGCGAATCGAGGCCGCCTTCGCTGCGCTCGGCAGCCAGTAGAACGCGCGTATTAGCGTTACAATTTAGAACTCTACCCTCGGACGGACTGACAGACGGACAGACAACACACTCCACTAGAGAGGTAAGACTAGCCGTTCGTCGCCGCTACGCGGCGGAGGTGGCAGGCTGTAGTCCCAGGGGAAAAAAGCTCACGCCTTCGCTGCGCTCCGGCGTAAACATGTTTTATGTAAACGTTATGTATTAAATGCATATGAAATTGAACATTCCTACTCCGAACCAAAGATCTGCCTGTAGACAATGTTCTGGGCGTAGACCCCATCCCCCTCCTCCAGCTTTGGGTACTCGACCAGCGCCTTGAATCTTGATCTTGAAGTAACTCGCGACATCGCAACGTACAGCTGCCCGTGGGAGAAGCAAGGCGGAGCAAGATACAGCCCCAAGTACTGCACCCTTTGTCCCTGTGCCTTGTTAATCGTCATCGCAAAGGCCGGTTGGACAGGAAACTGCTTGCGTCTCAAATGAAACGGAAAGCTCCGAATGTCTCCGTCACTGATGAAAACAATGCGGGGAATCAACACATGTTGCCCTTGTCGCTCACCTGTAATGATTGTGGCGTGGATGACATGTGGCTTGAGGGCCACAACTCGAAGCCGTGTTCCGTTGCACAGCCCTAGATCTGGATTCAGGTTCCGCATCATCATGATAGGCATTCCTACCTTGAGGGTCAACTTGTGGGGAGGCATTCCACTGATATTCATCGAGTGGAGTACCTCCTGCTCGAAGAAATTGCCGTCACCGTCGTCTTGTACAGAATCGGAAGACATGTATTCCCGCGCCTGTCCAGTTAATCGATCGGTCACCGCTTCATTGATGCGGTGCACGATTGCGTTCGTGGTCGTGAGGATCGTACGATTAGCGAAATACTCATCGGTAGCAACTTCGGGGTTGTTAATCTCGCCATACATCTCGTCGATGATCCGATCCATGCCTCTTGGAATAACACCAGGACGAATTTCCTGGTCCTCATCCTCAGGCACAGGTGGATTCTCAATCAGCATATCGCGCGGGATCTTCATGTAATCTCTTCCTAGGTAAGGAGTTACATCATGCCTTCCCTCCCCGACTTGCAGCAGGAACTCGGAGAACGCAGCCATTTCCTCAGCAGTGTCTGCAGTATCAGCAGTTTGCACTCGCATGTTTTTTGTGAGACGGAACGTCTGGAATTGGGGCCACAGCCTAGACGACTTGAGGCAAGCGTCAATTGTCTCGACGGGTGTTCCATTCTTTACGACCGGGAGAATTTGGCGGAAATCTCCCGAAAGTACAAACACTTTCCCGCCAAAAGGCTCGGTATCGTTGTCAAGTATGTCCCGCAGTGTTCTGTCTACTGCCTCGAATGCGTGGCGATGGGCCATAGGTGCTTCGTCCCAAATAATTGAACTTGCATGCTTGATCAACTCCTGAATATGGGAGTTCTTCCTGATACCGCACGTCGAGCTCTCGTTTAATTTCAAAGTGATCTTGAATGTAGAATGAGCTGTCCTACCTCCCATAAGTAAGAGCGAGGCAATACCGCTAGACGCCACAGCGATGGCGATTTTCCCCGAGAGTCTGACTTTGGCCAGTATGTTTCGAAGCAGTGTAGATTTTCCAGTACCACCCGGGCCATCGACAAAAAATAGCTTCTTGCCTTCCTTCGGGCATTCAACCGCTTCAACAATCTGGTCGTAAACCACTCGCTGTCCTTCGTTCATCTGGTCTTCTGTATTTACAATCGCCTCCAAAGCTGACGCATCGTATCCAGTGAGCTCACGTCGTAGTAATCCGTTTTGGCGAAGCGCTTCACGAATCAATGTTGGGAGCGACCCCAACTGAGGAAGCTCGTCGAAGTCAGCTACCGCATACCCACTCGCTTGAAGTAGTTCTTGAATGCTCATCAGCGTTTCAAATTCGACCAACGCCGACTTGAAGGGGTTCATCAAAGCCTGATGTTTGCGTGCGAAGTCTCGGGAAAGATCCGCGAAAAACCGATCCCATAGAACACCAACATTTGCTGGAGCTGAGTACACCAGAATGGTGACGAAGAGCTGGCGTAGTTGATACGGCATTTTGAACTCAGCCGCTTCCGTCAAACACGAAACCCACTCGTTGTCATTCTCCAAGTAGCCAGCCTCCCGCGCCGCAATTTGGAATGTTGGGCAGACAATTCCGTTAACCGTTCTCAAGTCTTCAAACGACGTTGGACCTCTACGCTGACAGAGCAGTAGCCGAAGGTAGAACCGCTCCATATCTCGAGGAGACACGTGAATCATGCGACCAACAGCTGCTTGATACTGTTTCCGGCGAACCCACCTTTTCGGTTGCCCTTTCTCCGGCGCTTTCCAGCAGAACTCTTTGGGGATATCCTGATACAGCATCGTCCTGGCAATATGATTCTGAGGCTCTTCATTCGCACACAACTCAAAGAATATGGTCAGCATCGTGTGACTACCACGTTCCAAAACCGCCTCCGGGTTTTTCGTCTTTCGAAAGCAAATTGTCTGGCCTGACTCGAGATGAACCGCTAGCTGTGTCACCGCATGGGTTTTCCCCTGAATCGTGAAATCGAGCAGGCGCATGCAAGCTTCCACCGGAGAAATGTACCGGGCGCTCAAGAAACGTAGAATCTCATTTGGTTCTCGACGCGCACTCTGCTGCCCTCCTCGGACTTCTTCCACAGTGAGTATAGCCATGTCGGGTCCTTTGTACACATACTTGTACAGGTATTTAACCGCAGTAATATCCGTGCACACTTCCACATTGATGTGGCAGTTGTACTTCTGGGATAAGTACGGGTTGTACGGTACAACCCACTTTTTGTCGTATTCTCTGCCTTTGAACTTTAGAACACCTTCTTGCCGTCGACGTCGTCTGTACACTGGATATCCGTTGGCATTGGCCTGTGTAACTTCTGCTAAGGGCTTCGGATATCCTTTGGTGCACTTGCCGTCCTTCATACACGCGCAGGAAGGGTTTGCAGGCACGCATGGACCATGGAGCATGCACGACATGACCGTTTCATACAGCTGAGGGTTTGTATCCTTATCTGGGATCTCAGCGCATACCATCTTGTCTACGATCTCGCGGGTTCGAGGTTTGTCTTCGTCAGCCAAAATAACCAGTACGTGAGCGTGGGGGAGCCCTCGTTTTTGAAACTCGACAACGTAAATCCGCGCGCGCACTCGCCCCAAAACGCCTTGATTTAAATCATCAAGCGTCGCTTGCAGTTTCTGCTGCCACACGCGAGCCACGATGTCTGGTCGATCTTGAGCTGTCTGGATATTGGAAGGTATTGCTTCAAGAATCTCGTCCCATTTGGGGTTGCACGTTTCCGTCAGGAAGACGTCGGGCCGTCCATACTCCCGAACAATTGCCATCGAATCTTGATACGACTTGTACATGGACCGCGGGCTACCCAGGTGCGAAGGCGGTAGTATGATACGCTTGCCAACCTGATTAAGAAAGTGGGTTGGACGTCCTCTGCTGGCTCCGTCCCGATCCGGGTGCACCAATCTGTTCTGGGCACGGTCGTATTCTGACAGCAGCACTTCTCCTTCCGCCAGAGCCAAAGTATCTTCGTTGAGCAAAGCGTCTTGAACACCCCTGTATTGATCGGCGCGTAGTGTTTTCTGATTGTCGGCCACCCAGCGAAGCTGTTCCTGCTCACATTTTGCACGCTGATCTACACACCACTGCTGAAATAGACGCCCACCTTGGTGGAGAGCGGACTGGTCATCCACTTTCTGATGAAAGCGGAACGCTACGTGTTCACGAAGCGACATCGCCTTCTTGTTTCGATACTCAGCACCATTCGCGAACTCGTCTGTGTAGGTCCATCCCTTCTCTCCATATGGAAGGAGAAGCGGGTATTGGAGTGGATCGTAATCGGCGTGAGTCTCGTACAAACGTATCAGTCTTTGATCGCGTGTAAAGAGTAGTAGATCCCGAGGCTGAGCCAGGTTGCCATCCTCAATGAGAGTCGCAGCCACTTCAGACACAGTGGGGCGGTTATGTGTCCTCGGTCGCGAGGAGTTGTCATGCAGACGGAACACCAAGTCTACTGGAGCCTCCGTGTTGTGTTGGCGCACTTGCTGCCCAAAGTGGAGGAGCCGTTGCGCTAATGGGTTGTGCTCTGCCATCATTTTCTCGATGTATAGTAGTGCAACACGATCCAGATCCGCGAATATACCAAGACGTCGCTCCGCGCGGCGTTGCATGTCTGGATCCACAATGTAGATCTGCGCAAACTTGGGTGCTACCCGCACGCCTGTCCGACGGTCTATGTGGGGGAGGAGAGATCCTAGGTAGTGCCCCATAGCCCCTTGAATGCGATATGTGTACACCCCGTGTGTACCTGCAACGCTCTCGTCTTGATGCACATTTTGAAACGATCGGTTTGAGCACGAAGCACCAATCGACGTAAACGCAAAAGCCTGGTTGTAGGTACGGATCTGCCGGCGAAACTCGGGATCTCCGTACAGCTGAAGCAGCTTTGGTGGCGCGGGGTTCAGTGGAGGCAGCTTTACCCTGCCTGCCAGACAGCATATATCGCAGACTCGCCCGGCCACTTCCAAGCATTGCAGATCGGACAAACGGTTGTAGCCGGAAGCTTGTGCCGGCCGCTCACCACGTCGTCACCCGTTATCATGGACGCATCGAAGTCTTCGAGGGATATAAGAGCGTGCCCATGTCGGATGCATTGGCGTCGAGTGCGCACCCGCTCGCGTTCTTGCTGGCGTTCTTCCGCTGTCTGGCGAGAACGTCGATTCGCTTCCTGTTGACGATGTAGCTCCCGGTCGGCTTCCCGTTCATGTTCAGACTGCTCCGCTCTGTGCGTGGCGTGCTGCTCCCTTTTAGTAGCCCGAAGCGTGGAGAGATCGTTTTCATTCAGCAACTGTCGATTGACAGCGCGAGACAGAGTATTTATCTCTCGCTCGCAGCCGCGGTCTTGTTGGCTCAAACCAGCACGTCTTTCTTGTAGTCGGGCTCTCTCTTGCTCGCGTCGCTCGTTAAGCTGCTGTCCGCGCAATTGAGCTCTACGGGCGCGTTTGCGTTCAGCGTCTTTCTTCCTGGTACGATCACGCTGAGAGAGCGTCATATTGGCTCTTCTCGTACAGGCTCTCTCAGCATCACTGGCACGACGGCATTCTATGTGGGATCGTATATCGCTATCTCTGTTTCCGCGAACGCGCTGTCCAGGCGAGGTAGGGATCTGTTCTTGAGCAGTAGCTTGTAGTACGACAGGCACAGTCAATGAAGCCAGCGCAGTGGCTCCCGATTGATACGCTGCCTCCATCTGGGCCGCAAACCGACGCTGATGTACCGCAGGATCGGACTCTTCCGTCTTCTCCTCCTGCTCTTCAATGCGATCAGCCGGGTCTTCCGTCGCTTCTGTGACTTCTGTCTCGTCTTGGTGTATACTGAGGGCCTTCAGCGCTTTGTTAAAGTCGTAGCGTTTCTTCCTGCGCTTGGTCTGACGTCGTTTCCGTACATCCTTTTCCTCTTGCGTGGGTGTCGCATTAATACGTTCGTTCTCGCGCAGAGCCTCCTCCAGTTCCCTGCGCGTCCTCTTCCGCTTACTCCGATCCATCGCTCTGCGAACACGAAAACGTGACGCGTTACACAATGTCTAAGTACACCGCACGTAGCAGTAGGTTTTCATCGAGTAGTGTGCTGGAATATGCGTACTACCCGGGATTGCTTGCCCCCATCAAGGTTATCTCCGATCACTTATCCCACAGTCACGGGCCGTGAGGCCCGGAGCGGTTTTAGTTTGCAAATTGTGCTGTCGAATCTTCAGGGTTGGGCCCCCGGATAGTACTGAAGCTTGAGGTGCGATATCCTTTTGCCAAAAGGCGGCCGTTAATTGCAAATGCTGGTTATTGATCGGCTATTACAGCCCCCATCCCATCTGTCGGTTAAAAGAGGCCAGTTACGGTACCCCTCCTGACCAACTGCACGCACGCAATGTGCGTGCCCATCAATAACTATTAACTGCCGGCTCAACTGGTTCGCTGTCGGGTTTGCGGTCAATGGACCAG